GGGGCACGCAAGCATGGTGCTGTGCTAGTGGTTTGCAGGATTGTTCCACCATCAGTAGCAGGTAAACTTGCAGCAGGCAGAGGGAAAAAGCAGACTGAACCCTCTAATGCATCTTACCAAGGGTTCAAGAACAGCAGGCGCAGCTTTCCCCTGCCCTCTGGGTAAGGAAGCGAGCCTGGCGTGTAAGTAAGGCACTGCGCTGTCCCAGGCTGCTCAGGGCAGAATGGAGCCCAGGCATCTATAGCATCCCACTTCACTGGGGTATCCTCACCATTACCCGTCTCCCTGGTTTCTTGGAATACGAGTGCTGTGACCTTCGGGCTCACCAGAAATGGCACCACATCAGGGCACGCTTTTCCGTGCTGCACCATTTCATGAGATGTGGGGACTCTGACTCACAGCACTACTCTCTTGTTGGCTGCTGTGGTTAGTGTAGTTTCAATGGACTTAGTCTAAAGTGGTATTTTTGCTCAAAAGGCAATTGGTTAATTTTTAAACCAACCCCTTCCCCCACTTTTACTGTGGGACACTTCACACAAAGCTTTCTTAATTTGTCAGAGCAAGCAGGAACAACGCTAAAAGGCTTGTCTCATTTCCTCTTCTACTAGTAACTAAGAAATAACTGACATATGCAGATGAGACTTTAATGAAGGGCTGGTTTGCCTGCAGAGGCACACGTATGCAGACATTTTCTCTGTTAGCCCACTGATAAGAGCAGGGCTGCCCTTGTCCAGGCATCTCCAAGCCTTGATGTCTGTTCTGTCACTTCGCTTCCCCCCCGGCATGCTTTGTGCTTCATCCAACAGTGAACTGCACCCTCACCCGGCTGTTACTGAGCACTGCTGGCTGCAGTCGCTGAGCATCATTATCAACGTGTTCTGAAGACGAACTGCAAGAGAAGTGGTGCTGTTAGTTAAGACAAAATATATTATATTACCTGTGTGACCATTGCCTTTATTATGGCTTTAATCCAAATCCCATTGATCGGACCATTAAGAGCATTATTTCTTCCATCACAGTAATGCTGCCACACAACTCCAGTAACCCCAAAGAACCCATGCAAAAAGACATCAATTAATTCAGAAATGTAATGACTTTGTATTACTTTATTAAATAGCCAATTCTAAAGAACAGTGAAAATATGAAAACATGCATCATTTGGTGTTCTTAAAAAACATTTGCCCAAAATAAAGACTGTTAGAAAAATTAAAAGTTTAGCCCCAATACACCTTCTGCTCTCCACATAAAAGATGTCTGGTAGTTATAAATACTGTTCCAACTCTTCTAACAAAGTTTAACAATGTAGTTTAACATTAGTAGTTCTACTACAGGTTTTTTTCACATTTCTTCTGTAAACATAATCAATTTAAAAAATGCCGTGTTAGCAAGCATAAGGAACTACTGCTTTCCTGTACAGTAAATACAAATAGGAAGATCCTGGATGTTCCTGCCATTCTAATCAGCACTCCATTTACTGAAACATTAAAGATTTCAATTAGTATAAAAATATAACCAGAGAGTAAATGTCTGAGAAGATTCAGTATTTGAGTGAGTCTTAGTTAATAGGCAAATAAAAATGCTATTGAATTCCAAACCTGA